GCAATGAAATGCAGAAATGGATCTCAGAGACCAAACAGTCCAGTGCTACTAGCATAAAAATACGGCTTGAAAAACAAGTTTATTACTTTCTAATGTGTACTTTGTTGAAATAAAAAATAAATTATTTAGAGCTATCATTGTAAAACAGTTCTGTGTAGTAACACTCTTATTAAGGCCCTTGAGACAGAAAAATCTATTTTTACAGGTAGGATTCCTGGCAGGCATGATCTGTAATGACATGCTCGCTCTCATGGGAGTTAACTTACTGTGGAGAAGGAAATATCTAAAAGCATCAGCCTAAATTTAACCGTTTTTGCTCTGTCACACTCAGCTGGATACCTGTGGCTGACTGTCCTGATCACTGACGGAAATACATTTAATGGTTCAATGCAGACAGGAATCATTCTCCAGGAACAAGACGGATATTTTTGCAGAACACAAACAGAATTCATACACACACAGTGACCTTAGCAGATAAGTATTGCTGACACATTCCATGGGCACTGCTGTAAAATTGACAGACTTCATCACTGAGTTTTCAGATGAAGTTAAAAGCTGGTGGGTTTAAGCAAGCATTAAAACATGACATTAATACATTGTGTGAAAAAAAAAACAACCAAAGGAAGCCTAAGCCAACCCAAAGCAATTGCAAGAACATAAAATAAAACCCATTTTTTGGACAACTTATTAGATGGATACAGAACTTATTACCGGATACACCTCATAGTCTCTCACTAGAAGATATACACATTCCTTTCTACGCTCCTCTGGATCCCCTGCTTAAGAGTTATTCCACTGGAGAGGAATGTTGCAAAATGTGTAGCTGTACGAATCTGTGCTTTTACACATAGCTGCCCATTTCTAACACACCAGGTAAGTAACAATTGGCAATTCCTGTCTAAATCTACTTCCCTTAAAAAAAAGGGTCTGAATTCCTAAAGTTGCAAAGAATGGGCATTTACTCCACGGCCATGCTCCCTCTCTTCTCCGTTAGTGCCAACCCCACGTCACTCTGGTCACCTCTGCTCTCCACACACACTGCAGACACTGCACGCAACGTGGTGAAGGGCCACAGCGCTGCAGAACACGGCTCCATTTCCCTGACCTGCCATGCTGGCCATGAGCTTTGACCGAGAGCTTGGAAGCCCAGGTGGCTTTGTGGTTTGGGAAGAATCACCCTAAAACAGTGTTGAGTAACGTGGTCAGCAAGGACTGAGGTGCCAGGATGGGACAACTTTTCTGTTTCAGTCTTCGGAACACACAAGTATTACTCCTACAGGCTATTAATTTTTTTCCTGCACTACTTCAGCTGTTTCCAAACAAGAGCAGCGGTTCCTTGTAACAGCATTAGACACAGCCTGATGCATTTGCTCCAAGTATGAACCAAAACCTAATGTCTATAATGCTCATCATCGGACTTGGCACTATTTACTGCTTCTCTCGTTGCTGCAGAAACCCACTGGCTACTAGCCTTAAACCAGATGTGATCAGGCCCAGTTAGGGCTCTTGCTCCAAAACAGACCTTTTGGCTGCCACGTGGTTTAGTGCCACTTGAGTTTTATCAGACTGGACAAAATAGAAGCTGGCATTTTCACATATTGTCAGCTCGAAGCTGCTTAAAATTTCTCTAGAAAGCTGCTTGGTAACAAACTAGGAGAGACAGCTGCCCGCAGAACTCGGGAGCAGAACGTTTTGTTCTGCAGCTAATCAATTTCAGTGTCGCAGCACTGTGAGTCTACAACCTTCACCCCCCTTTTGGGTCAATAGGCAGCTTCTCCTCTACAGCGGGAGTCAGAGGAGTACACTTTGCACTTTAGGGTAGAAACTCAAATAGAAGAGAAACAACCAGCCTAGCAACAAGCTGTGAGGACGATACTGATGGGTCAGGCTCTCTTAGAATAGCAACTTTTCCTAGCCTACAAGGTTAAGAAATACACAGGAAAAGGTACGTTATTAGGATGATAAATCACTGAAGACCTCACCAAAATCTATCAGTCTCGGGGCAGGTATTGTTTTGCCTCTAAAAAAAATCAGGGCTGAAATGTTGCTCCTATTGCATTTTTCCGCAGAAACCAAAGCGGACACCTCAGAGTCTTTGGCATCAAACCCTACAGTCCAGCCAGTGATCTTCAACAGGTTATCAGAAAGCTGGGGAGCTCTGGTGAAATGTGTTTCCCAAATTAACACTAGACTAAACGCTACCAGAATGGCCTATCTGCTTCTGCCTTGTTCTAGTCAATGTATTCCTATGACCACTTGCTCTCACATCTCAGCCACGGAACACCCATACTATTTGCACTGTGTAGTAAGTGAGCAATGCACGTGCCCATCAGAAAAGGCTACTTCTGGGAACAAATGTCCCACGATGCAGCTGTGTAATTACAGCACATAGCAAAGGGGAGATGCAGCTCACACAAAAATACTCAACAAAAAGGGGTTTGCAAAGGCTTCTTGTAGAAGAGAGCTGCTTGCAAGACATTAATACAAACTCGATAGACTGCCTACGGCCATGATGCATGAAGAAAGAGGGAAAGAAGAAAGAACTTAAAAGGCACAGTTTGAGGAAGAAAGTATCAGAGGTCAGCAGTGACCCAGAGGTGGAAGACGGTTTGGAAAATATTGAGAAGAAATCACTACTGAGCAAACACAGAGCACAACCCCAGGTGTGTCAGACAGGGCTGACTTGGCTACGATACACCAAGAACAAGACAGAGATGCTCCTTGGCCTGTCGTACCAAGTCACATCCGAGCAGCCAGAGAAACTTTGATCTGAAAGAACTGAGCATCAAATATAAAACCCAACTCCGTGTAGACAAGTCTCTAGATGTAAATTAACAGCCAAGGCCTTGCTAAGAGAGATTCATACACGTTTTTCTTATACATCCTACAGTGCAGGAGATGCGGTCTCTGTGTTTATGCATAGTTAGTAATGTAACGTACTCGCACAATGATGCTTAACTGAAGCCTCGTAACACAAAAATAACAGTTAACATACTGTGCTCTGTCACAAGCTGCATTTGCCCACAGATGTGAGAGTCATATTTCCAAAGAACAAAAAAACCTCAACAACGACACTGAATTTGGGTCCTCAGTATTGCCAATCCTTCATGTTCCAGGCAACATGGGTCACTTCCAGGAAGTCAAGAAACTGGCTTAGAAACGCCTTCATTTTTAATGTAGTACAATTTTAGAGACTCAGAAACTATGGCCAGAAAGAATGATGAGATCATCAGCTCTGACCTTCTCCATATCCCAGGCTATACGATTTCAGCCAGGTACCTCCACAGCCACCTCATGAACTCATTCCTAATTGCAGCATGAGCTGCTTGCTGAACACATCCCACGCCGAGGCACCTTCCTGAGGTCCTGTCTTATTTTGAAGTCAACTTTTCCAATTTCTCATTTCCATAACTAGTTTGAATGGTTAATCACACTCACTGTTATTAGCATATTTCTGTAATTCAAAATTTCTAGTGCTGTTGCAATAATTTTATTTACTTTGAGAGTTTGGGGGATAGAAATGTATACCAAAAAGTGAAAGGGAAGATTCACACACTATTACTTGACTCAAGTGTATGGTGCTTTAGAAAAACCCTCAGACTAAATATTGTGGCATTTGATGAAATCATGAGAATTGACAATACTGTGTCATTTATTGTTATCTTTTACAGTTTGTGAATCTCATTATCTTCTGCAAGAAGGTAGCTTTGTAATTATATATGCATTCACATACAGCCTGTCAGTACGCTATGAAACGCAACCAAAAGTAAATGGAGGTGAAAGCTTTCTCAAAACTCCTTAAGAAAAAACTGGTGTGTACAGAAGTTAAAAAAAAACCACCTTTGAAAGTATCTGGAGAAAGGCAAATTTCAGTGGAAATGGCACGTCTTTTCACACAAAGGTGCAGAAAGCATCTTTCATTGGAACTAGACTGGCTAAGCTAGTGGCTGCAATGGTGAAACTGAACGAGAGTTAAAATACAGAAATCCTCAAGGAAAAAGGGAATTTTCCATACGGAAGTCTACTTTGCTGGGCACAGGCACCCTTCGGTTAGCCCTTTCCTCAGAGCTTTAACCTGGCTGTTCCCGATGGAGTGCAGAGAATGGATTCAGAGTGCCACTGCATGGTGCATAAAGTGGGGATTGGATAGAAATTTAAAAAAAAAAAAAAGTATTTACAGGTCTGTAAATTCTCAAAACAGAAAATATAAAACTGCATTAAAACTGGGATAAAAAAGAAAGAATCCTACCTTGAAAAACTGCAGATTCCCTCTGTCTGTCTGATGGGAAGCCTGCCTGTGTGCAAATGCAGGGAAACAAGCTTGCTGCTCCAAGTTTTTACCTTTTTGAAAAAGACTGACAATATTTTGCCAGAGTCCTACTGAAAGTAGGTGCAGGATCCAGCAAGAGCCAATTTTCCTGCTAAAACGTTTGCTATCGAGTTTGCATTCAATTAAAGAGCTAGAGAAGAGGGGAATAAAACCCGCAGATGAGTTTTCTTACAGAATTCATTTCACTACTATTTCACTCCACTCATGTACTTATGTCAGTCAGGCTGATATATACAGCTGCTGTCTAATGTAACCCACTGCTCATCTCTCTCACCCACAACACACATGCACTCACACTCCCCTCTTCCTCCTCCAAGGACTGCAGTGCTTTCAACAAGAGAAAAAAATAATAATAATAAAAATAGCAATAATTAAAAAAATCTACAGTATTCACTTCCTTTTGGTATATTACATCGGCATTTTCTGTACACGACCCAAGAGCTCCCACTATTTACACAGTGATATGGAAGGACTTGTTCTTGGGAGCCCGGTTCTCCTGGCCTTGAGTGGGGAATTAAAGCCCACCTTTCGGAGTTCCTCTTTCTCTTTTTCCATTTTATTAGCAGCATTATGTAAACCTGTAAGGGGAAGGGGGGGCTGTTTCGAAGGTTTCTTGAGTCTGCTCCCTCTTGCCCTTCTCCCGGGGAGACGGCCAGCAGCATCTGCCCCGTTAGCAGCTGCTGTTTTTGAATTCACCATTCTCCGTGATGGAAAGCTTGGTGGGATTGGTGGGGGAGATGCCATTGCGGACTTGCATGCTGTAGCGCTCCTTCACCTGCGTCAGGGCACTCATCAGCCGCGTGTTGGCAGAATCCAGGGACACGATCCGCTTCTCCTGCAACGAACACCCCACAAAGTCAGAGCTCCTTCACAAATGAAACGCCTTTGTCCCACAAGCCTGCTTTATGGGGAACTTCCAGGACCCGGGGCTGTGACAGTGTCTTCAGGTGGTTTCTAGGCAGAGGCGGCTTGGCTAACATTCTCTGGTAAGATGGGATGTCTGCCTCTTTCTGTTTTCTCGGGGTAACGTGGCCCCTGCCTGCCACAGGCTTTTCACAGGCTGGGCTGGCCCTCCCGGCCTTTTTGCATGATGGAAGGTGACAGTGAGTCAAACTGATCCAGTCACAGCGGCTTTATCCAGACAGCCTCCAACCGAGGCAGATGGGAATGTGGTATTTTGCCATGGGTGGGGCAGGGAAAGGGTGCTGGTGTTAATAACGACAATAGCCAATTCTTTTTTTTTTAAATATGTTAGAAAAACAGAAACAGGCAGCAGAAAATAAAGGTGGTGGAGGTTTCATCTGGCAGAGAAAAGTGCAAGTGGTATCTAACAGCCATTGTCTCTGTATTTTGCATGGAGTGCGCTCAGAATAAACTCATGGTATGCTTGAAATAAATAAATAAAAAAAAGCAGATACTGGCAGCCTGCAGTCAATGGCAGGAGTGAGGGTGCAATAGCAACATAGAGAAGAAGCAGCCAAAAGCTAAAAAACTAAGGGGTTGTTTGAGGTGAAGGGGAGGAGGGCAGTGTGGGTGGAGGGGGAGATGCCATCAACAGAACACAAAGAACAAACACTGAACACACTGCTCCTAGACCCATTCCAGCTCAGAGGGGCTCCCGGGCTCCAACGAATCCAGGGTTCCCACATCCCAGTTTTGATTCTTCCAGCACAGAAAGTGCTAGCCTCCACTTCCAGCAGAAGTATTCAGAAAGCTAAGGGATGTGTATTAAATTTATTAAAAAAAAACCAACAAAAATCCAATCCATCAACAAAACCCAGCCTACTAACAGCTAGATTATCTGCACTGGGATACAGCACTGGAGGGTCAAGCCAAAGAGTCAGTGGCACAACTGGAAACAGCAATTTTCATCTTCCCTCAAAAACAAAAAAACAATCCCACAGCCACAGAAAGCAGCAACAGAGGTGGCAACAGGTAAATATGCTCCCTGTGCTACCAGCTGATTGGCTTTTTTAGTTTGAGAAGGAAAAATGTCTAATTTACTTGAATGAAATAAGTTGCATGCAGGAACTATTCCCAGTCCAACGCACTGAGAAACAAAATGGAAGGGAAAAATGATGCACAGAAGGCACAAACATTAAGGGATAGTTCAGACATAGTGCTGAGGAGACCCAAGTGCTACAACAGCCCCTTGAGATTTTGGTCCCAGCACATCAGCTGTGTGGTACGTCAGTAATCAAGTCATGTTTGCTTTTCTCAGTGGGCTTCCCCACAGGGGTAAGCATTAGGATGCAAAAACAAAGCAGTATTTAAGTACTGCTTGTATTCCAGCCCTGAAGAGACCAAGCTCTCTACAGCAGAGCAAACGGAGGAGGAGGAGGAGGCACGAGAAATCAGCAGACTGTAGCCTGTCCTAGCGCTTGCCCTGGTCCAGTCAACACAAGCAAGGAAAATGGACAATGGAGGAGTTGAAGGCCTTAGCCTTTCCTCCCATGCTGAAATAAATCCTGTCAAACACAACTGCCTGAGCAGAAATGTGTTCTTCAGCAAGTTAAAGCTCCTCCTCCTCAGACTCAATTTCACCTGGAATAGATATTATTTAAAATTAAAATTTCTTTCCAAAGAATACAGCTTTCCAAAGAGTTAAAAATGAAAGGCTGGTTATTTTCTGGGACTGATGAGTGCTCACTACGCCAGTCTGCAAAACAGCTGGAAATCTACGCTTGGAAAATCAATCTTAAAAGCATGAGCTTGGTAAGTAGAGGCATCTTCTCACTCAAAGGAAAACACAACCTAACAAACATGCCTCTAACACACGTGAATTGGGCACAGGGAGCGGGAGGAGCTGGAATGGGTAGGAGGTCAGTGCACTGGGCCAGGACTGGGTACTGCTGAGCTAGAGAACTGATTGGGTTTACTTGCCTGTTTGAATTATCTCATCCCCATTTATGACCTGTAATTTAACACAGCGGAGATGTCACTTGCAATAGCAACTGGGCTAGTACTCTTCGCAGCTCCGCTGCTCCAAGGAGAGAGTTTAGCCAGACCTAGCCCCTGTCTCTGGCACCAGAGTGCACGTGAGGCGCTGCCCGGGGACAGTGCTAACGGCATGTGTACCAAGAACAAGAGTGTCCTTGTGCATGGGTGCGGTACTGGGTGCTGCACCTGACCACAAGGCAAAAGAGCAAATCCTGAAAAAGCATCTCGTGGTGATGTAACTAAGCACAAGCAGCCCAGGTTACTGCTGTTTCCTAGCAGCCATTTAAGTCTTCAAACAGGTGTGATAAGCAAGGTTCCAACACTCCACTCCAGAAATCTTGCTTAAAAAAGGACCTTTTCTTTTCTAGCTGCTGCTATGTCCCTTTGCCAAATGAATCACAGTCTAAGAAAAATCTTCCAAGTGCAACTTTGAGGGATTGCAACAGAACCCAGCAAACACTTGGGCTCCTCTAGTTGGTCTGTTCTGAACCTTTCACCAGTTTCCTCTTTCACTCAGGTACCCATGAAAGGGCAATGACAACTAAGCTTCCCCCAGGAACTGGTGGATGCTGAAGCAGTTAAGGTTTGCTGATGACCTTGCTTGCCCAAGTACCTAACAGCACTTTAAAAGCAAAAGGTGTCAGATTAAAAGAAGAATCATTAATGCTACTGTTTTGTCAGCCATTTCTACTGCAGGCAATAAATGATGCATGATTTGATCAAGTGTGATCAAGGACCACACCTTTCCAGCCCTGGGGGTTTGAAGCTTTCACAAGCCAGCAGCAGTCCCCTCTGCCAGCCGGTGACACTGGGGAACCAGACTGGCCCACTCTCTGCCTTGCTGATTATCTGAGATAACCACTTAGCTGAGAGTTATCTCCACAACCTCACACCGAGGCCAAGAACCTATTGGCACAGACAGGTAACAAAGGGGAGGGTAAATTTCTTAGCCAGTCACCACCTCTCAAATCCTACCCTCCAAAAAAAAAAATCACTTTTTATGAGTTTGCTCAGTGCTCCTTTCACCTTCTGGAGGCAGATGAAAAAGGCATCAGCTCCTTCAAAAACTGGGCTGCTGTTTGGATGGGCTGCCATTCCGTCAGTGCGTAACTGCAAGATGCCCTAACTGTCCCTTATCTGCAAAAAATGGCCCAGCACGTTCAACTTCTCCCAGCTTCCACTTGCCATACTCCTTGATCAGTTTGGAGGCTGCTGCACTGTTCCACCACCACCAAGAAAATATAAAATATAGAGTGACTGACTATATTCCTGTTCATTCTTCAGCACTGCACTCTCCCACTTTGTATTTTTAGTGCAAGTCAGAAAGGATTTAATCTTGAGCTGCATCTAGAAAGGGTGACTACACTGGTGTTTCCATGTACTGCATCTTGCACAATAGCTAGGAACTATATGTGATGGAATTCCCGTATGATTTTCTTTTTATTCTGCAAGGCTAGGTAACAGAAGTGCCATGTTATTTTACACAAGTGGTTTATTCAGATTAAATGGCATGGATCAAAAAATGCAGCTTTCATGAACAGTCTTTTCTGAAGAACTGTGGGAAAACGGGCAGAGGCAGCAGAAAAAACCAGAACTTTTCAAATTACTGAGAAGAAATCTGCTATAAATATGCTCCTAGTGTTACTAGGTTTTTAAAAAGCTTTTTTCTACTTTATA